CTTATTAATTTACTTATTAATTAATTAATTTATCTATCCTTATACGGGATAAACTACGCCACCTATGGACGCGTTTAATGTTTATAGCGCGTGGCGGGAAATGGAATCCGACCCGTCCCACCTATAATTTCTCATTAAATTCTAGCATGATCGAGTCGTTTTCTCTAATTGAAAAGCAGAATTCACAATCTCTATTCTATGTAGAGATTTTCTAAACCCAAGAATATGCGACTGCTAAGCCATACGACTGATCCAACCGTGGCAATATTTATAGTATTACTAATATTAATTTACCTGTACAATCTAACGTGAAATTACTCTAATTCGTACCAGAATCAGTGATTTCTCTAATTCATTCGTAAAAATAAATTTCATATACAACATGTACAATAATACCCGGTGACTAGTATCGCGTCACTGCGTCAGCCAGTGGAGCTAAGCAACATTGGTTTCGTTTTATTATGACATACTTCATTTTCGCATATTCGTTGTGTTTTATTCGCTAATTTTATTACAAGTTCTTAGTTTTGTGTGCATTTATGGTATATTTATATTTATTTTATTCTCAGTGATATTACGAATGCGATAGAAAGCATACCTCATTTCTACATAGTTTGTATTCAGCCAATGAGCGCTGAGCGCGGGCATTTCGATTATGTTTTCCCGAATCCCGGCGAGGTTATCAAAGCCCAGCTGCACTGTACCTATTTTGCTATTCCTATTACTGTCTTCGTCTTAATGAATAAGACGCTTCTCAATATACGCTGCTTGTCCTTATTCACCATCATCGAATCCTGCACAAACTAAACATTCTCTTTTTACATTGATGCCGATGCCAAGACATTTGCGGGTAACTTGGTGAAAACGACTTTAAAGCAGGAGGGTCGTCACCTGCGCACGCCCAGGAATTGAGTCCCAAGCGATGATAACAACACACGCTAAAAGCGCAAAGGCTCATACTAGTAGGTACACGCTTGTTTGTAAACAATGACACGATATGGCCATCTGACGCATGCGCAGGCGACGACTCCCCCGCTTTAACGCAGCTCAAGAAGGCGATCGCTACCACACATAATTCCTTCCGGTAACACGCGCACGACGACTTATTTGGCGGCATCACACGAATTGCATGAACTATTGTCATCGCCTGAAGTCCAATAATTTTTTCGCCGAAAATAAAATGACGTTGACATTCATCCCCCAAACGGGCAAGGAGGGGTAGGGGTTTGGAATGCATAATCGGCATGACGAAAATTGAACTCAAAAAAGCTCTTGGTAAAACCCCACTTTTGATCAATTCCGTACAATATACTAGTATTCTAATTTACGACCGACCTTTTACCTATGCATCGCCGTCAAACAACGACTCCTTCGCATTTCATTTCGGGACCTCTGTCAACTACACTTGCAAACTCGCCAATCGATGACGATGAACTCGACAAATCAATTTGAGGAAATCACTACAAAATGTACAGTCGGAATCAATTGTTAACGGCCCTTATAAAAATGAAATTTGAAGGCACTGGTCGATGGAACATTTCTGAGAGAAAACATTCTTTCACAGATGATGAAAGTAAACACCATTAAGGTTGGTGGCGTAGTAATCGATGACACCAAGCGCTAATTCAAATGGAACATCGCTGAAGTCATCAAATTAATTAATGGCCCAGATGGGATGGTACGAGCAGCAGATACCGCTACAGGTACAACAAACCGTCCGGTTCAAAAATTATACCCGATGGAGGTATTTACCGATGATACCCAGAGTTTCAACCAATCAGGAACTAATCAATCGGACTTACCGATTGTAACTAATTCCCCGCCTACAAGTCCGCCAATGAAATGGTTTTTACCTGAATTCAGTGTGTTAGCCAGGTATTTGTCAAACCTGACAATTCGACAGACTACTAATTTATGTCTGGCAAAATGTCATTATCGTTTTTTTTTACATTCCCGACTCAGTTGTAGTCATCAGAGTAGAGTAATGATTTTCATGTCGTACTGTAATGGTTCAATACAATACTAAGATTTGTCCTAATTTTTTAAAACAATATTGTATGCAGGAATACTGCTGTTTAGTATAATAATTTTGAGATTCTGATTCTTGATTGTCTGCAATTCAGTACATTTATTGGATAGGTATTTCGATTGAGAAAAAGATATCTTCAACGAAACTGAAACCGCAATCGTGTCTCTGCCTGTCCTGGTGTATCACGTTTATCCTGATCCTGCGCCAAAAAAGAAAAGAAAAAAAAAATAACAAAACTAGGCATGAACAATTCTTTTTCTATTTGGCAACACATTTGGCAAACAATTGTGTGTACGGTGACGGACATAACAATTGTTCAGGGTTGAACTACCCTATAGCCGATATGACGAAACGTAGACTGAGACGCGGCTCCTGAACACATTGACTCTTATGCGAGATTGCACGAGATTGCACGAGATTTTCAAATGCATTATGCCAAATGCAGTTAAGGCGTCCAAGATACGATACATAAAATAAAGTTAATAACGGGAAGTAAAACCAAAAATATATTCCTAAATAAACAAGAATAACAATAAAAATGTGAAAAATAACACTATTTTAGGATATTAGTTTAGTTATATACAAGACTAGCAGCATATATAAAGGTTTTTATGTTCTGCACGAGTTACATGGTCTCACCGTTGGGCCACCTGGTGCCCATACTTCAACTTCACAGAGGCTTAGTCGTTGTGTCTTGTCAGCGAGCTGGACGCTGACGTAACGTCCGGTGAGGGGAGTACCACATCCGCATACAATTTCAATCGTCTCTTGCACGACGACGTCTTCATCGATACGGAAACCGCAGAGGGCGTTGTCGTCGATGTTACTACTGTCGCCGACACGTACTTCGGCGTTCAGGAGTTTATCGGCTTTTTAATGTAATAAAACAGAAAACAAACTAACATACATATATTCAAGTGCGATTGCAAAAGTAAAGACAGACAGTATAAATTTACAGAAACTGAAACAGAGAATAAACCATTGCCCAACGATTGAGTAACTATTAAATGGCCAGATTCACTCATAAAATCACAAACATACATTGAATCTTCCGTTGAGTCATATTTGAGTTAATACCAGCATTATATACTTACAACAACAATCCATTCTATTGGTGATTGTAACCACATATACATCAAGAGATTCCCCGAGGTCAACTTTCCACCATGGCTCTTCTTCAAGTTCAGTCCTTGTACACGATCTCCCACGGAAATCACTATCTTTATTTCCGTCTACTGCCCTGGTAGAAATGGAATTTCCTTGAGTTGTGCTCTGAGTTACGGCAGTCGTGGCAACGTTTATCAATCCAAATGGAAGTAAACACTCTACAAAATAAAAATAACTCAAATAATTTTGATTGTAGACATATTTCGCATTGTATAGTGCATCACTTATTAGCTTGTACGCGTATTTCACGAAGACATAGTTATTGTGATTTTGAAATCAATACTGCTTGTTGTCGAATATGAAGGTATTGTAAGAATACCCCTTCCCTAAAATATTTAGTTCATGGCAAACATATTTAATATTATTATAAAAAGTGAATATTTATTATAACAATACATGCTGGATGAACTACAGCATTATGCATATAAGCTGTCACCACGAGGTAAACAACAACATGTTTTTAAAAAGTATTGACGTGCAAACAAGAGAGCTTCTTAGAACACCTCCCAAAGAAATATAACACAGATGATACCAAGTAAAAAAGTATATAGATAATTATGCCAATCCCTTGCAATATGACAACATAACGCTATGAAAGACTAAACTTGCGATAATAGAGACTGTTTATTTGACATGGATTACCAACGAAACCGAGACAGTGCAAGATTAAACACACAGGGTTGGTACATCCAACTATGTGGAAGCGAGAAACAAATACATCGACAAACAATGATATTCATATAACTTATGGTTTGACATTTGGCGAACCCACAAACGTGTTATTGGTGTTGATAACACTAGCTAGTATTCACATACAGCTGATGGTCAATAACTTGAAGGAACCCTACCTTTGTCAGTTGGAGATTCCGTTGCAGCATCTGTGACAACAGATCCTGGCGTATCTGTCACCTTGGTTCCTGGAGACTCAGTCGCATCAATGACACCGTCGGTATCATCCGACCACACTTCAACTTCACAAAGTGACAACTGAGTTGTCTTGCAGCGTGACTGTACACTTACATATCGGCCAGTCAATGGACCATTCTCGCATTGTATTTTGATGGTTTTCTGTGATGCTACAGCAGAAGTGACCACACTACACAAAGCATTTAAACGGAAATTCTTCTTGTTTCCAATACGCACCTCTGCGCCTATAAGACGTGACTCTACAAGAAAAATAAAACAAAGTCAAGTTTATATAATTGCTGCCGACTTTATCGTTGGTGTGAACTACTTGCGCAGTGACACACAGCACAAACAACGACGCATTTTCATTCGAGCTGAACAATTCATCGCAATCAGAACAAGACAAAAATTCAATTTGTTAGTCAAAAAACAAAGAATGAATCGACAAAGAACTAATCAACCGCTACATGTTAAAAAGTTATTATACTCGTGTTTAATTTCTGAAAAAAGATAATTACCATAGTAGTGACTAGATAATCCTACACTCGATAGAGCACTGGGCAATGGGGTATAGTATCTGGCCCGAACGTCGTGATTATTGAGCATGCACCTTTAAATGGTAGTGGTCGTCGCATAGCGCGTGTTTGAATATTATGCAAACAAACATTGTATTTTACACGCGTTGTATACGTCGCTGTGAGACCCATATCGAAGCGAACACGGCGCGAAGATCGCCGCTTTTTAATATTGCGCCATATAATCTGATTTATCTAGATATCTACTTACGGCAACAGTCTCCTCTGTTTGTCAATGTGATATAATTAACCGTGCGTGGTTTGACGAGGTCAGTTTTCCACCATGGTTCATATTCCCTAGAAGTCAAAGAGCAAGAGCGATGACAGAATTCAGCATCGGTATCACCATCTACCGCGTCTTTGGCTTTGGAATGCCATTGCGAGGAACTCTGTTCTGCACACTTACCAAATGCTACATTGGTTAATCCATGTGGAATGCGTACCTCTATAAATTGGACAGAAAATTCATTATTATACAAAACAATTTTGCCAGATGATTTGCAATAAAAGTTCCCACCTACAATATAATAACATTGATCAGTGGTATTTTCAATCCGCCATTTCATATGTTATTATAAGTTGTAAGATATGTAAAGTTGAAGAGCTGGTTTTTATCACATACTACGAACAGGGTAATCTTACCATCACCAATGACGCTGACGCTATTTTCTACATCTGGACACGGAAGTTCAGTTTCCGTTTCTGGACACGGTGGTTTTGTCGTGGTTTCTGGGATTGCTGCCGTTGTCCTTTCGGTTGTCGCTCCTTTTGCAGTTGTAGGAACTCCACGTGTTAGTGATTTCATCGTTGTTGGAATGCCTTGAGTTGTTGGTTTTACAGTTACTCGTTTAAGAGTTGTTTGAGCAGTCGTGACATCGGCCAGCGTGGATGGGATAATCGTGGTCTGTTCCCCGATTGGCCTAGGTTCTTTAGGTTCTAATATCAGAATAAAACCATTAAGAATGAATGTATTTACAATCATCTATGTCACTAGGTGTAGCGTAACAATGGTTACAAAAAAGAACTACAAATTACATGTACTCAATTGTACTTCAGTAATAATCCACAGTAGGGCACTTACCGCATGTAAATGGCACTGCTTTTATGTTAATTAAATCTGGATAATCTAGTTCATGCAAGGAAATGACGTTGCCACAGTCAGGGTCGCATGCTCTTGTGGCTTTCTACAAATTAATAACATACATTAACACTTTTAATGAATGCAACACATAATTCAGTTACTTAATATGTCAGGGAATAACTTGTACGATGAATTATGCTAGTTGTTTTTAACATTTTTTGTGTCTTGGCAATTGATAAGCAATTGAATAAAAGTACTAAACGTAGTAGGACCGAATATGAACAACGACATTTCAAACCAGAGATGCAGTAAGGGTGCATAACAATCATTTTAGGAGACGTTTTTGTTCAGGCGCCGACACAAAAATATATTAGTGATTAACTTCAAGGGGTGTGGAATATTCGTGACGTCAGTGTTGAGATTGTAAGCAAGAAAAGTGGTACCAATATAGAAACTTGTTAGAATAAATACCTTTATCTGCCTGTACGAAAGCGTGTAGTCCCACATGTTGAAGTACCGTAGTCTTCCATAAAACGCATCCAATTTGCTAAATCCGCCATCTTGTACTGTCTGTTTTTGACCAATCAGTAACGACCCACCCTCTCTGACTGTCGTTCCTGTAGCCAATCCGTAACCTGTGTACAATTCCGTTTTCTTATCATAGATCGAAAACTCGCCACCTTCTGACTTCCACAGTAAGCATATAAAGTGGGAGGTCTGGTTGTTCAGATCGATACCAGTGAATTCACTTTTCTGGTTGTTGACAGTTACAACAAGATTGTTGACGTTTTCAATAACTATGCTACCTTCGCTGTCACCATCAACGAAATAACTGACTGCCGTGTTGGAATAATTAGCATAATGGCCATCTAATCGCATCCAGTAGCATATGGAGAATTCAGTGAGTTCTGGTATATGTTTGGGCATGGTGGCCAGACTAAAATCTCCTGTATTGTTGAACTTCCATAGGTACTGGTCGAATACCCCTGGGGCACATGGGTCAACGGCGGCTGAAATGACAAAACATCAATACAAGAATGTCAAAACATTTCCAAAGCTAGAATATCAACTATAAAGACGTCCCGAAAGAATGGAAGAACATATTCTTTATGATTCTATTATGAGTAAGTGCATTAGTATATCGGAAATGACAAAACAATGAGGTCATCAGAAAATGTTTGCGAGAAGCAAGCGTTCAAAATATTCGAAAATTTCTCAAATTTGGTGAAATTATTTATTCATATCTCGAATATGTGCACGGTGTCATATAATGAAAATATTATATATTATTATTGATATACATCCTAATATTTAAAACAAGTACATTTAATTTATTTTGTTCCCAGTACGATAATATGTGTTCATTACATACAATTGGAAGTTCTCTCCCATTATGTTTTTTCATATAGACGGAGTAACATGTAGTGTAAATTCGACACGAACTGCCTTAGCTAATATGTAATCTCGCAAAATAACTATCTGTGATTAATATACATAAACTCCTTCTTTAGGGTTGAAATTGGCAGTAACTTATATTTTCAAACATCCATTTTACAGTTATTTTGTTGGCATTTCTAAACGGATTTAATACAATTGTTGAACCACACAGATATGACATTTCTCCGCCACGAAAAAAGGTCTCATTAATTATAAGTCATGTATACCAATGCATCGTTGACGTGGATACATTATGACAATGCCTGTAATAACTCTTTATTTCACAATTTACTTCATACATGCACTCGCCTATGACCTGGACTTAGATGTAGTTAACTAGACTCTATATTGTAATCATATGGGCACTAAATTGTTTACCCTTGTTTCTGCGTACATAACACTGTTTATGGAAATAATCACTGTAGACTTACGTGATCTTATGTAGATTATAAACGCATAGATTTTGCAACTAAGTCAAAAATTGGGTGTTCATACTTACGATACACAACCAAAGCTTAAATGCAAACCATAATCGTATTTTAAATGCGCGGCACCAAATTTTACAAAGAACAGAGTGGTCAATATGTATAGTTAATCGCACGAGTTGGAGTTTTATAGTTGTAAACGCACGACAACGAGTTGCGATTAACGGCTTATACCACTCATCCCCATGCATAAAACGATTAAATTGCAAGAGATGTTTAGTGACTGTTTCGGTTGTGCGTGAGATTGTGCCACTTCAAATTTGCATGAGAATGCTCTTTGAGATTCATCTGCGTTCATTGAATACGATTGGATGTTAAGTGATATGACCAATAAGCCTTATTTGCTGAATGGTCTTTTCAAATAAACTTCACTCATTGGTCAATATTTTGAATACATTTGAATTTACCACGTGTCAAAGCCATGGTCTTGTCATTTCGAATGCAGGCAGCGCTCAGTGATGGTCGAATACAGTGACATCTCCGATTCGGAGTACAACGATGACATTGAGAGATTTTGCTCTCAATACGACGAAAAAGAAGATTTTAAGTTAACAAAACAACAAGAACGTCAACGTTTGGGTTTACCTGTAGACAATGAACAGATAGCTGCCATTCAGAATTCGCGAGTGCCAAAAAACACGCGTAGATGTACTAACTGGGGAGTGTCTGTGTGGGATGAATGGGGCCGAGCCAGAAATGAACGAGTCGAGAAGCACGGGGTAAGCAGTAGTGACGTGTTCACATTTCTTCCCAGATTATGCAGCGAACTTGGTGTACGTGAACTTTCATTTTGGTTGTGTCGCTTTGTTGTCGAGGCTCGTCGACAAGACGGAACAGAATATCCATCTAATAGCCTGCGTGTGCTTTGTAGCGCAATTCAGAGATATTACGTGACGAATGCAAAAGAGTTGACTTGTGCTTTATGGATACACATGCTCGGGAATTTATGGAATTCCATCACACCCTGGATGGTGTAATGAAGAGTATAGACAGACGGGGAATAGGTCTTATTAAACGTCAAGCTGAACCATACA